TTAGAAATTATTTTTAAATATAGCCAATATTATATTTTTAATTATTCTATTTATAAATTAAAAACTATTTTTCAAAAACAATTTATATAATTTCTTTAATTATTTCATGAATCTTATAAATCAAATAGATTTGAGAAATGAAAATTGAACTATTTTCTTAAGACAAAAAATTATTTCTCCATTAATTTTCAAATTTTTCTTCTAATCATGCGAAATAATATATAGAAATATTCCTATTTTCCTCCCTAATAAGATATTCAAAAATAATATCAAGAACATATCTCGCCAATATGTTTTATTAATGAAAATATAATAATTTCTAAATTCTTTTTTTTTCATACCATGAATTTATCACAAATATCGTATCTAAGATCAATTCAAATTTTTATCTTTTATTCTTTATCGATTTTTTGAATCACCATTATTAAATCTCTTATATCAAAAAATCAGAAATAAAAATTTCAAGAACTATTCCGATATAAAAGAATTCGAGTAAATTAGATATACAAGTAAATCTTATTTTCAATTATTTCTTTTTCGTACTTAATGATATCAAAATCAAACATAAATTTATAGACTTTTCTTGTTATTTATTCATTTATTACATAATATTACTATGTATTAAAATATTAGCAAAACGAATATTTCTACAAAACGTGAATTTCTCAATAATCGATTGTTAGCGGAGAATGATAAAGGAATGATATGCTTCAGGACATATTTTGGTTTGTATCTACCGTCTGCAGCAGGTGCGAATTAACCTATACGTGCATGACAAAGGCTACGTAGCGGCTATTGGTTCGATTGGCCATTGCAAACATTCTTGAATTCAGGCAACCAGGTTGGCAACCTTTCCTGTACAAATGCACATCTGACCTGCACTTCTCAACTGGGAGCTCGTCTGATAGGTCAAGTGTACCAAAAACTCATCCGCCCGACACTTGAAGACTCTATGATCTCTCTTGCACTGTGGACAAACTCATCTTTGGCCTTGCACCGACCAAACAATCATGCGGTACCAGTACAGCGGATCTTTCACGTGAAAGAGAGACACAAGGAGCCGAGCTTATAAAAGCGAAGTCAACGATGTAGTCGCAGTACCTGTGACGCATGAAATCAGGTTCATTGCAACAGGAGTGGTCCTAAAACTGTTCGCCTCTGAAGCGCAGACGGCGGAGGCGTCCCCCAGCAGTGTTTGACGACGTTGCATTGGGCTGCAAGACAGCCTCTTGTATTCAACAGGTGCAAAAATTACGTGTAATGCTCGTCTTGTGGCTGCTCCGACTCCACTTTTCTCTCCAGATGAGTGTCATCGCCTTTGCGACGATTTGAACCATCGTGTCCAGTCTCGCGACAAGCGGAGCAGCGGCCTGCTATGGCTGTTCCTCGTTTGGAATCAGCGCGACCGCTTGCTTGATCGGCACGAAAGTGCTAGCAAGGCCTTTGTTCATCTTGCCAAGAAAAAGAACTCGCAACCAAAAATGCCGGAGAATTTCGACTGCAACCCTTCATCAGCGACATGTTTGTCACATCACGGAACATAAGTTGCATGACGGAGCGTGAGGCTCGAATGCCTCTTCCTTCTTGAGAGCCTCAAGTACACGGAGTTGATTCTCGTGGAAGTCGTTGAGCCAGCAGTTGCTGTTCAGCATGCGAATTGGCCCAGGTAGCTTGGCCTCCCACTCCATCATCTTGTCCTTGCCCCTCCACAAAACCATTGCATACATGATGGGCGGCAAGAAACGCTTGCTACCTAGGCTAGATTGTGGAAGACCGGTGAATGCGATGACGGAAGTCAAACTACAACAAGACCGAAAGACCAAACATCATGTGCCGAGTAGGCAAGGTTCCGTCTAAGCCCAGGCCTTCCAAAATCTTGTTCAGGAGTACACCCTCTTCCTCCTGCGTGAGCTGACAGTCCGCGAAAATCTTGGGGTAGTCCTGCTCTTCCTCGGCGAGGTGCTCCTCCATGAACTTGATCATCTCTTTCATGGCCGCCTTGAACTCCTCTACAGCCTTAGCATCGCCTGATTCGATCGGTTTCCGGAACGTGACTACCTTGTCCAGTAGAGCAACGAGAGTCTCGTGATCCTTCTTCACCTTGGGAAATGGATCAGCCACGCCCATGCTCTTGCATTTCTCCAGGATGCCTGGATTGTAGATTTCCTCTTCGCTGCGGTGGTGATGATGGACACAAGGAAGGTAATAGTTTTCCAGAAAATCCATAAGCACCTCAGGAACACGTCAAACCGTCTGCACGCACAAACACACCCTGCCGACAGAAACGTCTTAGAGTCTTAGATGAGTCTGACTCCAACGCCTTCGTCTTCCACGCAGATGTAGGGCGCTTCACCGGCTCGAAGTCGGCCAGGATCTTACAGGTTTCGCGAGGGGAGCTTCGAGGATTTGAGAAGCTTGCGTCTACAGGAGCAGGAGGCTACCACTCATTAACGCTCCATTTCTCCCTCGCTCCCAACAAAGTCTTTAAGGGGCTCCAGTGCATGCCCGCCCACACCCGCTGCCACTGCCCTCACCGCTCTCACCGCCACCATCATTACCGCTCCACAACTCCCCCGCTCCCTCTGTAGCCACCTGCCCGTAGCCACCATTTGTCCACCGTGAGAAACGAAGTCTTTAAGTGGCTCCAGTGCATGCCCGCCCTCCCCGCTGCCACCGCCCTCACCGCTCTCACCGCCACCACTCATTACCGCTCCTCTGCCCTCACCGCACCCACCGCTACCACTCATTACTGCTCAGTGCTCCCTCGCTCCCAACAAAGTCAAGTCTTCAAGGGGCTCCAGTGCATGCCCGCCCTCCCCGCTGCCGCCGCCCTCACCGCAATCACCGCCACCATCAGTACCGCTAAGTTGCCTGGCACTTGCCACATGGCCGAACGATTGACGGTGCCTCCAAGAGGTTGGAATTCCACCAGCGGATGCACTCGTGCGGCACCAGAATTGCCTCGTCCTTCCAGTCTTTCGCTTCCGACACCACCTTAAGCGAAGCACCAAGCTCGGACCAAAGTCTCAAGCATCAGGCCCGCGTTCCCGACGTCCCTTCAAAAAACCCGGACACTGTGTGACACTGAAAGGCCTTGGACGTCGGCTTGGGGTTCGAAGGATTTGGCCATTCGAAGGCCATGGCTTGGAAGATTGGAGAGGTGAAAGGAAAATTAGGGCTGAGCCTCTCTGGCTTCGCGTCGGCAGATGTTGATCATGACTGACGGCATTCTTGGGAGCGGGGGAGGGGTACCAACTGCACACCCGAGAATCTGACTCTTGCCGAGGCGAGCAGCTTCTGCCTGGCACTTCGGTGCATGAGGTGCAGCGCTTGACAGAGATGTCAGAGCCACGGTAGCCTGCAACGTGCCAGTTTGCACGGGCTGCCTTAGGGAAGAAAGAGTCGGGCACTGCCACAAGTGGTCGCAAGGACAGACTTTGGAAGTGGCGGAAGCCGTCAGCAAGCGACTTGATCCTGAGTCTTGCGAGCCGTATGTGCGTTCAAGTTGAAGAGAACGTGCCTTGACTAAGACATGGACCTGGCCGTTCCGGCAAGCCCTGCGAAAGTACGCCCAACGCCCACCCAATTCGATTTGCGACTGCTTCACATCCCGACTAGCCTCCTGAGGTGAGGGAATCATCCGTGTACCCGGAGAGCTGCAAAGGTACTGGCAAAGAGCAAATAGAAACGGCTTTCCCATGCCATGTCCTTAAGCCTCAAGCTGTCCTGGCTCAGTACCGGAGAAGCTCTTGGAGCTCGGCTTGGATGCCTGGCAAAGCACTGCCACGGAGCGAGATGGAACGCATGCCGAAGCCATGCTGGGCTGCAGACGAGCATGGCAGCACCTGATGCTGGACATCGGGTGCAATTCCGGTGCGGTGTCGAACTCGAATCTGAGAAAGTCGCTGGTGCAAGGCAACTTGGGCCCACCAGCGGAGGCGCAAACCTCGCTGGCCAAGCCTCAAGCAGACCAGGCTGTCGACTCTGGGACGACCCGAGCAGCTTAAAGGTTTCAAAGGCGAACGTCTCGCGAATGCTGGCACGTGTTGACCGTCGTGGCGACGAACAGCGCAGTAACGACGTTGCTGCAGTAGCGTCGCATGGAGTTGGGAGAGATGCGGGATGTGTTGTGGTGTAGAAGCGAGGTCCTCGAGGCCTTGTCCCGCTTCTCCAAGATCGATACTCTTGGCTGTTTTTCAGCTGCTTTGCGCGAGAAAGAGGGATGCAGCTCACCTGATGCCAGCTGAAATGGAAGAGCCGCGTGCAGTCAGAAACTCGGCCTCCGAAGGAAAGGTGGCATTGGTGGGGCCGGGCCAAACAGTCTTGTTTTCATCTTCATTTTTGACTCTCTTAGGTAAGTCTCAGGGAATCAGGTTCGGTGATGGGTGCCTGGCAAGATGCTGGGAAGTATTCAGAGTCGACGACTCGTCCATGGTGGAGGTTACAGGAAGCAGAGCGCAGAATGCAACATCTACAGTCTACAGTGGGACACTGGATAGCCGACAGGTTTTGCGAATTGCCGACACCTGCAATGTTGCCGTTCTGTTTGCTGAATCTGCTCGCAATTTGTAGCACATGCACAGCACCCGGCTTCATCATTCCTCGCCGACAGCTTTAGCCCTTCTGACGATTGAGTCCTCGAAGCGGGCTAATTAACATCGGTGTGAACGCCGTTGTATACTTTCACTCTGCAAGCGCTCTGGCTCCTGGCAATGCTTTCGACGTTCGAGCCTGGCATGACGTAAACATGCGCCGCCAGATCACAAGGAGCTTTCGAAGGGCAAAGGCTCGTGGAGGTGGGGTTCAATCGCGTTGGGGGAGCATGGCACGGACTTGGCCAGCGCTGCCAAGCGTGAGGCTCCCGGGGCCTTTTCGCCCGAGTCACACAGCTCGGTCAGACGACATGCTGAGGCCGAGGCAGTGCTCACCGGCGAAAGCGAAGTCAGTGCTTGAAGACGCCCCTCATAGGACGCAGGACGGAGCAGTGCCCAGGACACGGAATTGGGGTTCGCAACGGATGTCCTCCCGTTCGCTACGGGCGCCGTTCATAGTCACAATGGTTTGTCAGTGATGGACATGCTCGATGGTCTGCTTTGATTGCGCAGTGAGGGGCGCCTGTGGCCTACACTCCTACCAGGCTTCCGTCCTTGTGCGTAGAGCATGCTGGTGATGATCCGTTGTCTGGCCAGTTGCGGTGATGCTTCTGCCGGACTGGCATAATTGGGGGTATGTTGCACGATAGTCTGAAGGACATTTTCGCTTGCTGGACCCTGCACTTCTTCACGGGGTGATCGCGCTTGCTGCCTTGCGGCCAACCATTAGAACATGTGCCCGGACACCTTCCGTGTCCAGGCGATCCTTGCTGAGTTGATGGGCAACACATTCAGTGTTTGGTATGTGCTTGGTTGTTGGCACCGATACCTGGCGGATGCAATCTTCGACGAAATTACAAGCTTCAATAGAAACCTGGCCTCGATGTGCTGCCGCTGAAGGCTCTCAAGCCTGGAAGCAGAGACCCGCAAGATACAGTACTCAAAGCGCATGCATGGAGCACCTTGCGTGCAAGCTGCTGCATCTAGCCAAACCAGGATTGCTCAACTCCGTGCAGTACTGAGGAGGTGGGATGGCTGTTTCGAGAGGAAACCTCCGTGCACACGGCCGGATGGATTCTCCTCCTCTGCTATTTTTTTCTGAAATCTCGCGCAAACTTCAGGATGTGCAGAGGGTTCTTCTATAGGTGAAAGTCTTCGCAGCCCTGTGTTGAGGGCGGTCTGACCTGCTGCTTGATTCCATCTTAGGCATAAGCTTCCGCGAAGAGCTGCGACAATCCTCTTCGGTGTGGGAGCGGGCAGTGTTTCTGCGACAGGGCCGTGTCATCCTCTTTAATTCAGGCGCAAAGCCGAACAAAAACCCAAGAAAGCCAAGACCATCCAAGACCCAAACCCCTGAAACCCTACAACTCTGAAGCAAACTCCACTTAAAGGGCCCCACGCCCTAAAATCCATGCGTCACAATGCGATGCTTCTCTGGCGGGACGTACAATTGCCCAGCACACACGCGCCAAGGTCTTGCAGAAACTGGTGCCTAGCCATCTAAAGTGCTGTTTGCTCATCACTAAGTCGCTTCCGCGCAGGCCACGTGCAGTTTGGTACTTAAAGGTTCGAACGAGCTTTTCCTCACGAAGGCTCTCAAAAGATCTTCGGCAAGCACGGATTTTCCTTGTTCCAGCTCCTTCTTTACGATCATTTGCTTTCAGCACTCCCGTGTCGGCAGGCTGGGAGCGATGTGGCTCACGTTTAAAAAACAACCTTGAGTTGCCCCCAGCGCTAAGTAGTAGTAGAGAGGACCCTGGAGCCGCCCAAAAAAAAGCTCACAATGATACAATGTCTTTTGATGTGTGCCATGTGCCTTAGAAGCCCCCACGACGGCATCTAATTACTGCACAAGGGCATGTGATGATCTTGCCCAAATAGAAACATGCTCGACAAATGAGACACGATGAGCGCAAAACAGCATCTTGTCTTGTGCTGGCGTAAATTTGTGGCCGGGTGGCTCAAGCGCATGCTGCCGCCGTTCGGCTTCGAGTTGTCTCTCCAGCTCGCGGCAGCGGCCGGACATCTCCGTTGCCATTGGGGGGCGACCTTCACAAACAGAATCTTTGCGAATTGATCGAATTGTTGGCATGGGACACGGAGCCTCCTTCAATCCCCAGGGGCTTCACCTGCGAGTTGCATTGCGTTCAGTGAGCAGTGGGGCTGAAACCCGATCTGGCATGCGGTGGTTGAGATACAGGTCGGATAAGTCATGAAGTGCCAACGAGCACTGGCGGGTGGAGATAAACAGAACTTGGGCCCGAGCCTCAGAAATGTCTGTGTCACCACACAGAATCTGCACTGACGACCTGAGCATTTTGCCCTGCCTGCCGCACTCTTGGCCATATATCTTCTTGATCAGCTAGTGAGTGCCCTGCTGATTGGCAGTCCAGCCCTTCAGTGTGACCGGCATGTCAGCCAAAGGTGTCGCCTGTCTTTCACTTTGGAAGAAGAAATGTCACCCTTCAGTTACGGTCTGTCAGACAGGCAAGACCGAATGCACGCTACTCGGTCCTGCCTCAATGAGAAAGCTGTAACTGCCGCCTGGGATGGCCCATGTGGTACACACTCATCCGAGTTCATGCCCCGGTGAACAATAACTCGAAACTCACGAGCTTCGCATAGGCACCCTCTGAGATTCGGGCGAGTGGTCGGCGGGCATGGGGACTCCTCTCTCGCAGTTGCATCACGATCTCGAGAAAGCCTGCAGCAGGCAAGGCCATGTTGTCTGCACAGCCAAAGTCGAAAGCTCTATGCACACACAACAGCATAAGCCCTGAAGTTCCAGAGATGGTCCGATTTGAGCACCGGGCGGTGTGCCAGCGGCGGAGCCTTCGCGTATGTAATGGTGCCGGAGCATCTGGGTGCTCTTGTGCATAACCGGATATCAATTCTCAACCAATCTCCGGCAAGAAAAAAGGTGATGAACGAACACAGACACACCAAAAGTGCCCCAAAGCAGGTGATTACATCACTTCCGCTGTTGCCGTCAAGCCTCGAAACTGGATGCGTGAGTACCGAGCATGCTTTAAACTGATGCATCGCATGTGTGTAGAGCAGACTTAGCCAGCTGATTTTCCATGTCCTCCTAGCCTGTCACACGCGCCTACAGAGTCATTGAGTACTTGTACCGATTGGCCCGGTTCTGTTGAATTCTGACCTTGTATTAAGGCGGGCATGCGACGGCCTGTCGAGACAGCGGCCACTGAGCAGGTGGACGACACACCCGATCCTGAAACGGTGGTGGAGGAACACTGCTTGAAAGCAACTATCGGAGAACACAAAAGATTCGGGCTTATTTGTTGCAAGCTTTGCCTGGGTCAGCGGTGCTCCTGCAGCTGCCAAGCAACGTGACCTGAGCTGCACGGAACTGCCGGGGCCTGCACGCCTCAGATAAGCGTTTCTTGAAACATTAAAGTTTTCCTTCCGGGCTTGCGGCGCTGTTGCAAATTGGCAGTGCCTCTGGAACATCCTCGCAATCCGGGCAAAAACAACATGCTATCGGCAAGCATTCAATCTAGATTCTAGATGCTGCAGTTCTCAGGGGAACCCACCAAGTGGCTCTGCCCAGCATGGCTGGTCGCCTGCGCTCGAAGCTTGCATTAGCTGTGTTCGCATTATCAAGGGCAGATAGACCTGTTCCAGGCAAGCTCATATAACGGAGCTTCCGCTTTACTAGCACCATGATGAACCGCGCATGGCTGTGGTCCCATCTTCATTCTCTGCATGGCATGGCTCTTGAAGGCCCTGGATGGACTACGCCTTGATTCATTTGGTTGCTGTGTGGATGCTGAAGCATTTGTTCCTTCATGCACGGTGCTGTCATGTCCTAGATGTCCTCGCCATGACAACGAAACGCACACGGATGTCCACACCACAGTAATGACTTGTACGTCGTTAAGGAATGTAAACTGGGAGTGGCCTTGTCAGCCTTGTTGTCCTTCATAGCACCAGCAGCCTCGATGGCTCCACTTCAACTCTCTCATCAAACATCGCGTTCATCTTAAGGATGCCAGCATTGTGCCGGGAACTGGGAGCTACACCGGTGATATCCTGCTGCTGCGCGGGCCTTGGCTTCATCATCGCGTTCCATGGAATAACGTCTTTGCAGAAAATGAATACAATAGTAATACATGTCTACGAGTACCGTCTACTTACTTCCATGCAGCGGCTTTAAGCTGGCGACGCTCCGGACTTAATGACGATGTGGACATCGACTTTGCGACGGTAGACCTGCTCGCTTGGCAGGAATCATGCAGTTGTGACAATGCCTGCACTCTCTGATGCGGGACCTTGATGACATGCGCCTGTCTGCCGACAGGGAGCGCGAGACCTTCCGCATCATCATGAGTCAAAACTCTGACTGGCTAGCAAAGCTAGCAATGTGTCAGACATCTGCCGGACTGCGTTTAGCAGTTCGGCTTGCTTACTGGGCTTGGCGCAGATCGGCGACTTTCCAATCTGGCCTTGGATGCTGGCCCACTGTGAAAGTTGTGCCTAGCAGATATGCAGCATATTTCCAAACGATCGCGGCAGCTGGTCGACGAACTACATGAGTGAATAGAAAAGCCCCTGCCCGTGATGCGGATCGGGACAGTCGCCCGAAGCACAACTACGAATCCCACAGAGTGCTTTCCTTTGGGTTGCTTGTGCTGATGCCTTTGCTTTGGCAGTTGTTGATTTATTATTATAGTTATTGTTGGTGGCGCTGGCGCTGGCGGCTGGCGGTGGCGGTTCCCTGTTGTGGCTGCAGCTACTATCGCTAATCGTTCACTCCGAATGTTAAACCTCCCCAATATGAAAACTTATTTCCGGCGGCTTGGTTTTTATATTAGGGGGGGTTCGGCGCATCCGGGTATGAGTCGGATTGACAGGAACGATTAGTGAGCAAGACACGAAGACGGTCCATATGCAGCCGTTCCTGATTAAACCTTGAAGCCCTGAGCCCTAAACCCTAAAGCCCTAAGCCGTAATCCTTGAATCCTAAAACCCTAAGCCCTAAACCTTAAGCCCCAAGCCCCCAAACGCTAAAGCTCTGGTCCTTTCGGGTTGATTAGTACTGCTGTAATCTTGGCTCTGTTCGAAACTAATACAATCCTAGGCCCCACATAACGCTTTTCATTGACTTTCAATTGTCGGCCCGAAACCGTGAAATCCCGGGACCGGGAGGTTTCTATATTATGGGGGTTTAACGACATGCAACTCTACTGTAAGAGCAGCGGTCTTTTTCCAAGGCGGGGTTCACTGCAGGCTCCGGCCCTGCTGTACCTGACGTGTCTGCCGGGCCTTGTCTGCTGCAGTCTGAGACGTCTGCCCTCGGACATAGGTCTGTCCCCGAGCGCATGGTCTGTAACCGTCTGTTCAAGGACTGGACTGAGGACGTCATTTGCCCCGCGCCCGAACGAAAATTTTTGGGCTTACACGGAGGTAGTGGCCCATTGCCCTGCTATCAGCCCGTCTGCAACGGACTGGCAAGTAGCACATGCCTGCACTATGCTGAAATCGACTGTTTCAGCCGCCTTCAGACCTGCGAAAACTGTGCGCCCACACAGCAGGCGATCAGCCTGTTTACGGCTGATGTGGACTACGCCACTGCGGACGTTGGTCAGAAAATGAAAATCTGGATCACCGGCCACTAGAGCTAGGCTGTGACTAACGCTCTGAAGTAGCTGGGTGTCCTCGTCAGAAGATTCTGCACTACTGGCTGCTTCACTGGAGCTGCTGTCGTCTGAGAGTTGCGGCGTCTCACGAGGCTGCTCCACCGGCTGGACTGGCGGCGCTGTCGAGGAGGCTGCCGTGAGTGCCAGCTGGTCTGTTGGTGGCTGCCACCGTCCTGACCTGGTGCTGTCTGGCTTGAACCTGCCGTCGCGCACCGCCTTGAGGACGCCTTCGAGCGTTCGCAGCGGCCCCGCAAGCGCGTCTCTGCCGTAGCTGAGCGCGCTGCCACTCTTCCCTTTGTTGTGGTAGCCTAACAGAGTCTGGTCCGAGTCTGAGACGGCGTACTTCATGCACCAGCTAAGGCAGGTGGCCTCAAGTCCTTGACTAGACACTGAAAGAAGTCTATCATGATTGCAGCCAAGCTGTCTGGAGAGGATGCACCTGAGCCATCTGGACGGCGTGGCTGAGTCCATGTTTGTCTGCAAGAGGCTGCCGTCGGCTGCTAACTCTGGTAGAAGAGGACTGGTTGCTAAGTCTCCAAAGCAACAAAGGCCTAGGTGTCTCCTGAGACTCAGCCACTCTAGCGCCCAGGGCTCCTGACAAGGGGCCACCAAGGGCAAGAACATGTTCCTGCGCCGGCCGGCGTGCCACGTTGCGGTCCTAGGCTGGGCGGCTGTCCCACTGTGCTGGCCTTAGCTGGCGGCTGGCCCGGGACAACGGCAGGCTGCAGCATAGGCTGTGCTTGCTGCTGTGGCATAGCCTTGGTCTGAACTTCCTTGGCTGACGGGACTGCTGCTGACTGAGGGTCCGATGCTGGCGGTGGCCGAGTTGCCTTAGCCGGCGGCTGTTTGACTGGGACAGTGACCTGTCCTCCCTTAGTCTTGGCCTTGCTCTCGGGGCCTAACATCGGCTGCGAAGTTGGCTGTGGCACCTGGGTCTGAAAAACGGGCTGTGGCGCAGAGACGGGCTGGGCCGTCTCCACCGGCTGTACCTCAGTCTGGACCTCAGTCTGGACTGCGGCTGCAGGACATGGAACAGAAAAGGCTGCTCCGGGCTGGTGGTCGTCAAGGGTATCCAGTTGGTCTGCCCACGCGGCTGACTCCGCGACTGCCGGGGCGACTGGATCGTCTTCGACTGCGGACTCTTCTCCAGACTCGAGGAGGCAGAAGTGAGCCTCGCCGAGTCCTGTGTCCACAACTGAAACGCGGCCTGGGACGAGGGAGGTTTGCCAGTGCCTCCATCACGGCTACCAAACTGTGCTCCGTACGGCGGACTGCATCCACCCACGACATGTCGTCTGGCAAGAGGCTCTAGCTAGTCAGAAGTCTGGAAGATTTTGGGCGTTTTGAGCCAAAATGGACGTTGTCGTCGTTAAAGCTTGTTGCAAGCAAACAGGGCTCATTGTTCGGGGGAAGCGACTACTGATTTACGATTAGCTGCTTTTGCAGAGGCAGTTGCAGACGGGGAACCCAACTTCTCAACTTCCAAAACAAGAAACCATGAGCTGCAAAGTCCTGCAAGGTTCGATGAGCATCCGAGTCTAAGGATTGTGCGAGCTCTCGACGAAGCTGAGCAATTCGTCTCTCAAGCTGCCTGTGCTGGCATCATTACTTTGAGAGGCTATCCGTGTGACTTTGTGGGTTCCCTTGCCTGTCGGAAGATTGCGACGATTGGTGGGGGCTGCTAACAGTCACGCCAACCTCAGCTGGTCGTTGCAGCCGCTCTCCCTGCTACTGGTGAAGAGCCACCCCAACATGCCGATGGTACACAATAAGCTCCAAGCACTGTTCTCCACCTTTCTCGCACGGACCGCGAATCGCAGTGAAGACAAAGTCTCGGAAGCATGGATGCTGCTCGACCTGAGACTTGACGCCCTGGCTGCCCTGGCTCGACTTGATTGTGGCAGGTACAAAGTGGCAAAGGCATGGCTAAGGCCCCAACGAGCAAGCTACCAAGAGAGTCGTGCGGCAGTTGCCACCTCACATGGTACCACGGCATCACTAAAGACTATGTGACTATGCTGGGCTACGCTGCGCTCTCTGCGGTCTCGACCCAAGGATTCTTCCAGCAGCCGCGTGAGGCGGGAGTCTCTGTAGGGCACATGCCTGAAGTGGCCGCTTCTCAGCTAAACAGGCGCTGTCAACGAAGTAACATCCGAGGCCCACACGGCCTTCGCTCGGAAAGCGCTTCTATCACATGACCGAGCCTGAGGTTCGGCAAAACCGACGAACATCGGCGTCAAAGCTTGAAGCCGTGTTTCCATGCCCTCTCAGTGAATGGCGCACTCAGGGAGGAGTTGATTTTCTTCGCTTCCTCCAGCATGCCCTGGGCACATTGAAATCATGCAAGGCACAGTCCATCAGCAAGCACCAAGACATGGAGTATCTTTGAAGGGCAGGAATTCTTTGACGAGTCTTTGAGCTCCAGGCACCGACAGAACCACTTTTGCGGACCTCCATTGGACACTACTTACTTTGTGGGCAGTCGACGTTGGTGCCGACAAGACTTGTCGTCGCCAAGAATGTATTAAGTGGCCACCTTCTCCGATCCAGCAAGATCAACCAGTGTCAACTTGCACCTGGCCACAGCATGTGAATGCAGCTAGAGCAGCTAGGTTGCTACGTCGTTCAGAAGCAACGCAGCATGTGGCACACTCGAATTCCGCTTTGCTGCGTTTGTCGCCTGGGGCGCGTTGGAGCAAGAAGCGAAAGAACCCTCCAATCGCGGCGCTCTGCAAGAGACTAAGGCTTCATGCGGTGCAACCGAGCTAGGGCTGCCGCAAAAGCAAGGAGAAGATTGCATGAGAACGGGATCTTAGTGCAAGGTCGACAGATTCCAAGAAACATCGGCACGAGCCCGAGATCGCTGCGAGTGCTCGTTCAAGCTGGTGTTGGCGGCCACTCTGAGCCTCAACCTGAAGGTGCGTGAGACTCGTGCATGCGCTCCCCACCGCTGCAGGCGATCTCGAGACTGAGACGAAGACCCCAGTCGCAAAATCTGCAACGCTTCAGCGGCTGTGGAGATCTGGCACTTAAGACCATGCTACGGCTGCTACGAGCCTCGTGAACTCGGAAAAGTCGGCACGAAGGGGCCTCCTTGTAAGTGAGACCTTCCACGCCACCGGGGAACTCCTCTGTCAAGCCCAGTGACGAGGGGAAACAGGCTCAGCTGCAAAGCCGTCCTTCAACTGTGGGTTCGGCGTCTTTGGACTCAGGAAGTCGCGCACTCTGTCCAAATAGACCTCTCGCAAAACCCGCGCAGGAACCATCGAGTCGCCCCAATCTGTTCAGCTCAGCCCCGGCCTCGAAAAAGCTGCACTGCAGCTTGGTGCCTGAAGTTGCCGAAGGTCTCTGACTGGACTCTCCGAGACTCTCCGACTGAAAGAAAGAGGCCTCCACTTTCTTGGACATGCTGCAGGACCTGCAGAGGCGCCAAGTTGGAAGTTCGACCGACTGATCCAGACCCGGCCTGCTCCACAGCCCTCGGCACCAGCCCTCCCAAGGCGCTTTCGAAGGCACAATAACCAAACAAAAGCCATGTCGGACCTTCCAGATCTCCGGGACTTCGACCCTGCGGTGGCCCGAACATGCAAAAGGTCCTGGACCACGTAAGCTCTGAATGACGAAAGGTGCGATCCTTCCAATCCGGAGTCTTGGACAGCTCTGAGTGGTGCACTTGCCAGACCCTGTAGGTCCATAGGCCAGGATCGTACCATTATATCCGGACCTAAGAAAGCTCGCAGCTGTTGCTTTTGAAGTGGCTGTACGTTACCCATAACTACTCTACATGTAAGTGGCTGGCAACACATCTTGCACCACACGTCGACCTGGCACACCACGACACATTCTGGGAAGCATGCAAGCCTGGAGAGCAGTCCATGACATCAGGCCTACATCTTCGTAAACTTGCTGTTGGCTTGTTTCCTGACCTCGCAAAGGGGCACGTGCGATTCAGACCACCCGGCTCTAACATCTGGCGTGCGGTCCGCAACCGTAAGCAGCTAGCCGAACGCGCTGTCCAACCGGAAACAGTGCCTGGAAGACATCACGCAGCTAGTCATCGACAAATGCTATTGCTTGAGCAGCTAGACGCATGTTCTGCAATGAACCTTTAGAAGATTCATAACGACAACTTGACAAAGCGCCATGAACGCAACCGAGCCAGTCAGGCAAGTGGTCAGCAGACTCAACTACCTGAGCATTTTGTCTTCATTGAAGAGTGTGCCGACATGTGATGCGCTGAGATCCCAACACCTGCAGCGTTAACGGTGAACGCTGGGTTCTCCTCGATGAGCGTTGGCAAGTTTAAAGGAGGACGGTACTTGCTTGGTTTCGTCAGTGGTCACGGCACATGGAAATCATCTCCTCCTGCTCTTCTTCAGAAACTGGAGGTCGAAAACGGGCAACAACCCGAACAGGGCACACCTCTCAAATTTTCAAGCTGTGAAGCGAGACCGGTATCGAAAGAAGACTCGACACCGAAGACTCCCAGCTTCACGCGCCTCGCCACAAAGATTGGAACCTCCCGCAGGAGCCTCAGGACGCTGCCAATACCGCTGAACAGCCATAGGAAGGCAGCTTCACACTTACGTCCAGGTCCGGCCCAGACAGGTAAGACTAGGCACAGCGCTTACTCTTTCAACTCCAGCAGAGAAGGGCTGGTGACTTTTGGTGCCGCAATGCCACCACAGGCTGGCCCAGCAACAACTGGCTGACAATTGACAGCGCAGAGATGCGCAGAGTCTGAGTATCAGGCCATGCAAGATAAAGATTGCAGCGAGCGCGCCCATACATATCAGTTCATACCCTGCAAGATGGTCCGAACAAACTAAGAGTACCAGTTACCAGATGTTATCAGCAGCTTGCTATTGTCTTCGGAGCTGGGTATAAGCCACATCCTAGCAGGCCACCTTTCTAGATGCGCTTGGTGTAGACGTCTAGCAGCTACAACACCTCCGAGAATAACTTGCCAGCCAACGGCTGCGAACAAGTTGACTAGGCATTGGAAGATGGCGCTGAAAACTTGGCTGAATTTGCCCGACCACACTTGCAGAACCTTCGACTTCCGCAGACCATGCAGGCATGAGCCATGCTGCACACGAAGTCAAGCGAGCAACGGCAGCAGTGTTATGACATTCTCTTCTAGCGGTCTTGACTGCAAGCCACTGCTCAGCCCCGCCATCGAAAGCCTGATCGACGGTGATTGTCATACCGGTCAGTGCCTTTATCTTGTGGTGTCTTGTGTCAACGACCCGCTGCAACCAAGACCCCTCCGAGATTCCTTTCCATCTTCAGGATTCTCTGCACTCTGAGCTCGCGGTGGAAAGCAGACATGTGAAATCAGGCCGGTGTCACGCACTCTACACAGCCCAACTAGCCTTCGGGCAGGATTTGGATGTCAGTGTTGCCAGGAGTCGAGTGCGGTGCTCTCATCAAGGGGGTCCTGACAAACAACTCTCCGACCATTTCGGAAGAGGCAACTATGTGTTGCTTTGAAAGAGTCACCCCGAAGTCCTCACAGCGTATGCATTCCTGAGTTGGCATCCAGCATGGCCAACACTTGTTGACAACTTCATAAAAGACAAGATGCAACAGGCAAAGACAGTGATTCAGCAACATCTGGAAAGAAGCCAAGGATCAACTTGTCGTACACTCGCGCAAGTGAGGAATCTATTTGCTCGTCCAGCGGGAAGAGATACTGCACACGTGATGTCATGCATATGTTGGCAGCCCTTGCGAGAACCGAACAAAGCCACGCGAAGAGAAGCTTTCTCCGGAATGCAAAACCCAGTATTCGAGAAATCTTGGGAGTCAGTGACGTATGGAACCCTCCAACATCCATCTTGCCGGGTTCTGGGCACAAACAAACATCCCTCGGCGAACAGACCAGCAAGCGTGGTGAAAAACAGAGCAACTTGCAAGAAGTTAGAAGGGCACCGGATCATTGAGCAACTGCAGTTTTACCAGATGGAATGTGCATGCAAGCGATAATGTTTCGTACACCGGGGAGTGATATTGTGCCAACAGCCGCAATTTCAAGCATCTGCAGGTTCATCAAACCAACTTTGCCACAGATCTGCTCTCATCTTGGCATTCCTGTTCTGCGGTGAAACGCCTACGACCTACGACCTACGTATCTCGTTACGATTTTGCGTTGGGTGAAAGAGTTGGCTACAGCGCATCTTAGTGTCTGAGATATTGCTACCTTACATTACCTTACTGCATTTGCTACTCAGCAGAGCTCTGTCAGCCGCGTATCATGAAGCAGTGCGGCCTCGGGTGGCGATTGCAGGTCGCAGTCGTCAGCAAAACAACAACTTCTCTGGTCTGCATCTCGACTTGCCCATGCAGTTTTGGCCTGTCGAGCTGGCCTTGAGCAGTATTGTGCTGACTGATCTGGGCTTGTGGCATCATCAAAGAGCGCAGGCAGTCGCTGAGCAAGACGATCGGCACGAACAATCCGCAAACCTTCAGAACAAGCAGGATTGCGGTGCATCCAACAAAAAGCATGACGTTCCGATGCATTGCATGCGGGGAGCCAGCAGGTCCAGTGGACCTCGCAGTGCAAGTGTGGCAGTGAGCACCTCGCGCGTGGCAGGACGGACCAAAGCTGACCAGGGACGAAATTCAGAAATAAGAACAGCCAAATACAGAGCTACTCCAGCGAGAAACACGAAGTAGTCAAGACAGAGGGTACCCGCACTTTTGCATTTTGTAACGTGTGCCGCAGGCTGTGATGGACAGAACTTCGAAACTTGGCCAGTCGCAAACCGTCGGCTCATGAGTCATCACAATGCTTGTGCAACAATGGGCGATGTCGAGCGAGATGGTCTTCAAGCATGTGCCATTGAAGGGCTTTCTCAGCGAGTGGAACCATGTGAACGATGATCAACTTCGCAGACACTGTGAGAAGGCGAGCCCAAGCGCTAACAGTGCGACAGGGATGTGAATAGGACATCAATTTCAGTGTTCCCAGGTCCCAAGCCTGACAGCGACTGAGCCTCTGCCGGATGCAGACTGTCTTGTGCAGGAGGAGAACAATACGCCAAGATTATACACGCAAGCTCTGACTCGTGACATCTATGCGAACCCAGAATCGTGGAATCCTCATTGGGACATTGGCTTGGCACCCCGATTTCTGTCGAGAAACTCCCACACTACATCTGCGCAGTTGTTCAATAGCTGCTCTACAAGCTCGAGTCCGTGGCCAGCTCAAGCTGGTTCAGTACCGTGTACAGCTTCATGACGTCAGCACCTCTGAAGACGTCAGGCGACTTCGCTTCGGAGGAGTTGAAATGACTCCGGTAGCCGATCCTAAGTGGGGGACTCCAAAGATAGAAAGCGATGAGGAAAGCTGGCCTTGGCATCCGCTTGCGATGTTCAGCACAACATGGGCAAGGCATGAGACCACTGCTTGACCGTTGCTTGAGGTGACTTGTCTGAGACCCCGTGCGCAATGAGCAGCTGCGCCGTGTACAGCGTCACCTCAAGGACTTGAGGCACCCAAGCGCCGGGCTCCGGGATATATATACATATATATATGCACATATATATATATATAAGCATATATATATATATATATATATATATTAATATTATTCACAAAAAAGAAGTCGACTGCCGATTCCCGACCTGTGAAGTGCTGGGAGTCTCCTGATCTGGCTCGAAGAGCTGATCCTCCTGGAAAACAAGTCTTACGAAAATGAGGACAGTGTGCAATGCTGGGCCGAAGCATCCTCACCGCCTGTGAGGATCACAATGATACAAACCTGACTGACAGACCGAATCTGGCAATCAGCACTCGATTCGATTGGAGGCAGGACATGTCACCTGTTAATATCCGTGGCTTCTGGGATCTCCGACCAGTTGGAGAGCAACCATTGTCAACAAGGCCACGCCGCGGCGCACTATTTCCGGCATGATCACCTTCATGCACAGGCTGCGTTCTGGATAGTTTGAACTCGATGGTCGCATCAACATGGCAGTGGCTGATGGCTTTAAGATGTTCTCCCATCTGGAAACCTCTCATTGCACAAGAGACAGGGCTGTACAAGCGCCCGGCCTCATCCTCTGACATTGAAGTGTATACCACGATGGGCTCATTCTGCAGCAGCCGCCTCTGCCTGCGAATGTTAGCGGATCTGAGGTGAGAGTCATTGTTTAAAGATACAAAAACATAGAGGCAAGGCAACCATGTGGACTATGTATAAGTTGCTGTTTGACGCAGCGAATGCCTCTGTTGCTACAATCCCCCACGGCAGAGGAGCACGTAAAAATTGTTCCATCATTTGAGATTAAAAGCCTAGGTGACTTAAGCTAATGCCACGTCCCTTTCATTGCGGCACCTCTCTTCCTCCGTCTCCTGCCCATTCTCAGAATCCTTGAAAAGACACGGACCATCTTGTTCCGGTCAAGGAAAGTTTAGACATGTGCTGCTTTCAACAAGTGCCAAGCCCGACGCTGGCTGTAGCAGCCCGCGAGAGGGCGGTGGCGAACCGATGGCCATCGTGTCGTCCGGGAAAACGAGCTGGCATGGCATCCTCGGCTGCGGCACATGGCATGTTGATTTCGAGATCGAAGCACACCGCAGAGGTCTTCGCGAGCACTCGATGCTTGTAGCATGCAATCATGCAATGCACATCCTTCCCGCTGGCAAGGCTTGACTACATGAACCAAGTATTTCTCGCTGCATGGCACTCCCCTGTACGTCACCGAATTCAAAGCAGGTCCAGGCACTGCTTCTGAGCTTGTTGAGGGGCCAACGCTTGCGTTATCGCCTTGACCATGGCGCAAAGAGGCTGTGCTGCCAAGTACGCTAAATTTCCAATCCAGGAGAACAGGGGCTCGCGATCTCTGAGAATCTCTGCATGCCTAGCTCACCCAGGTATGCCCAGGTCTGGTCCCAGTTCCGAAAGACTCCACACTTGCTGGCTGCATTGCACAGGCTATCACTTGGCCTGCTGATGATACTGCAGGAGCGCATGGCGATCGAATTGATCCATCCGCACGCGTTGCTGCCTCCAGTTTACTGAGCTTGCAAGCTAGCAGCAAAGTGCGAGAAGCCGCCAATGGCATCCCATGGTAAAATAGTTGCGCATACCTCTATCATCTTGCTTTTGCCACCCCTTTGTACTTCAGCTGAGTTCTAAGGTTCAGGCCTCATGATGAAGAGAAATCTGGTGGAAGCCTGAGACCACAGGAAAGGCGCTGCTGTGGAAAAGGAGAAGCACGTGGCGTGCGAGCGGTGGGGGCTGGATGTGCTCTGTGTCTCTGGATTGGTCCAACTCGATGCAGCTGACGAAACAGCCATGAATGTTCAGGGGCCAATCCGACATGCACAGCAAGTACTGCAACGGTCTGATATTCGTCGACGTGCCATGAAAATCAAAGTTTCATGATGCCGTTGACGTGGCGCCTCTCAGCCCGAGCGCTGATCCTGTCAGCAGGCCGATGAAGGCGGCCAAAGCTCAGCCATCCAGGCCACAAGAAGCAGCTTGGCTGTTAGGCAAAGGTCCGGTTCATCTCTGGCATTGGCACGGTGGGCTGCTTGGCTTTCAGGATCAGGCGGATCAGCGAACTCCTGCATGTAAGACTCTGCAGCGATGCTATCACGACTCGGTAGCCTTCAGGATGAGCACACGTACTTCCATGTGCAGCAGCTGGAGCCATCAACAAGAAAAGGTGACAAGCTTCGAGCTTTTTCGTCCAGGTTCAGGGGCCAACAGCCGACATAGACTGAACTGCATGCTTCTGCACGTACTACTTGCATACTATATGTCTATGTCAAATGTGGCGATGCCATTGCAGACACAAACACACTCGCAGGCACAGGTGCGTCGCTAACCAATCGGGATGTCGCCAGGCTGTGCACTAGAAGAGCAGGCACGAAGGTAGAGCCTTCAGAAGCTGCGCTGCACCACGTGGCCGCAATGCAGCACCAAAGAGTCCATAAACCTCGGGCGTAGCATCACTCTCGCTTGTCTGGGCCTGACGATGTGGCCACCTGAGTTCGAATTACCAGGCCTGAATTGGTTGACAGAGAAGTCGATTTGCAGGTCCTGGCTACAAGCAAACGTAAAAACATCAGCCATAGACTGTCAAGTCTTGCAACAGCCGCGCTCGACTAATTGCAGTGCTGTTCATCAACCCATTCCACTGGCGGCATTGCGGAATGCAGGCGCCTCTAAGCGGCGCGAGGGAACAGTCATCGTCGTAGTAGCCCAGATGCAGAAAGTCCCACCTCCAAGCAGGAAGCACGCTTAGTTATGACTTTTTTTGTTACTTGTGACCGCATGTGTGACTTATCCACCTGTACACGACGAACATTAGTTGCGACAGGTTTTGCTCGCGGCTTTTTCCTTTGCCTTGCTCTGGAGAGGGGCATGGCCCCGCCATCTCGCGTTTCCGACTGGAAACGCGTGTTCATGGGGTGGCCCGTTGATTTTGGTGTCGACCGACTCCTATGACAGGCAAATCCTTGTGGTACTGGCCGCTTCTCCTGGGGTTTACGAGGGTTAGATTTCTTTCAGGGACGAACGGATTTAACGGGAGCATGCAGTCGCGAACGCGAACAGTCATCATTCTACCAGAATGTGGGCGAAACCAGCAGTTACACTGTGGATGCCAGCATGTCTATCAGTATCGAGAAACAGCATGGAGTGGACATGTAACGATCTGGGAAGGCCTCAACATATGATATGGACCAGTGACCTTTTCGTGTTGCTCGCTGGCGTGTCTTGGGGCAAGATGCTATGTCTGATCTTGGCTGGCTGGTCCTGGGACTAGACTGCCACGACGACGACGACGACGAAAGAACGGGTACCGAGTAGTAGTAGTAGTAGTAGTAGTAGTAGTAGTAGTAGTAGGAGTAGTAGTAGTAGTAGTAGGGTAGGAGTACGAGTAGGAGGAGTAGGAGTAGGAGTAGTTGTAGTGGTAGTGAAAGCAGTAATTAGTCGTCGTCGTTGTAGTAGTAGTAGTAGTAGTAGTAGTAGTAGTAGTAGTGGTTGCTGTATTAGCATTATGATTATTATTATTAGTGGTAGTAGTCGTAGTAGTCGTCGTAGTAGTAGTAGCAGTAGTAGCAGTAGC